AAAGAAGCTGCGATGGCTTTTAATTTAATCAAAAACCATTTATTCTCCTTAATTATTCTTCGAAGGTGACGAATATTGTTACTCTTTGAGGATCACAAATTTCATTATTTAAAGTACAGATTAGCCAAAAAGACGCGTTAAAAACAGACTCTAAACCACTACCCTTCGCAGGCCGGTGAACGGGAAAATGGGGGAAGAGAGTGCGGAGTGACGTCACGAAAGGGGCGCCAGGGCGCTTTGCCTCACCGAACTGCATTGTTAAGGACTTGAACGAGTATGGGATCATGTCGAGGGTCCTCGCAACAAATTCTAATTGAGGGTTCATTGTGACTTCATCCTCTATACCCAAGAGAATGCAAGCCAAATCACCCAGATCTCTTCACGAACAGCGGCCGAATTATGACGTCATCAACACGTTTCATGTCAGCATCGGTTCGGTGTTTTTGCCTTTTGCCGTGTTTAGTGAGGATTATGGGATAAACGGTTGTGATATTTGGACTCTCCAGGAAAATCTAAACGGGAATTTGTCATTCACTAATTTTTTTCCTAAAGCTTTGCAGCTTCTCTTAAAGGACAACTCCGTTCAATTAAAAAAAGTTCAGGATTATGTATGATTCGACTTTAAAAAGCACTAATAAACAGCCCCACATACTTTGTTTATCAAAACATGACTTATTTGTGTTACCAATCTTTCTTTAAACTTAGCCGATACCAAAACCGGAACTTTGGCTGCGACAGGCAACATTGGTCTTGTGTTGTCAAAGTGTATAGCTACTAGCCAGGCTAGATCCAGCGCTGCTGAGATCCCCCGATACAAAGGGGTTAGCCCCAAATCGAATCCAATCCAAGTCATGGCAAACCTTTCGGTATGAATGATCACATGATTCTCCACTAGATCATTTAAAACTGCGCTCTCCCGTCTTTAGCGCCGATCAAGGCTATGCATGCGGACTCTTCTATTTTGCAGCTCATGACGGCATCTGTTGACTTCACCTAGAGAAGGAAAAAAGCACAAAAAGGGCATGTCTTTGACAAAGTGGCTCAATGTTGGCTGTGCAAACACTATAGTATTAATAACTGCGCTGTTGAATGCGCTTCACGTTTCCTGCTAGAGTTAGTCGATTTCAGTGACTTGGCTCTTTGCAAAGTTTTCCGCCCCACGTAAAGATATATAAATGGAACTAGATTGTGAGATTTGATGTGTCGTCTTCCTAGATGATACGGAAGAGGACTGCATCGTTTTCTGATTATCAAATGAAGTGGAGTTGCCCTTTAAAGAAATATGTCAAGCTGAGGGTTTTTTTCCCTGGCACCTAATGTTTTAGCAAGCCTTATGCGAATATGAAGTGTTCTTTTCGATTCTGAGTCTGGTTTTTTTACCCACAACAGAGAACTAAGATGTGCCATCTTTTCATCTTGTAGAGTGTAGTTTGCTCAGCTTTATGCTGTGATTTTCTAAAGAAATGCAACAGACATATGAGGAATATTTACATGATGTCACCATTCTGTGCGGTCCTATAGCCTTGTGGTTGATGGCATCTCGGTGCGCACATGGAAGTGCCAGATTGCATTTCTCCTTGTCATTCTCTCTCTTTCTTCTACGGTCAGTTCTTGTGTTTTTGATGTTGTGTTTATATACTACCGATAGTCATTGGGCTTTTTGCCGTAACGGGTTAAACGCATTTGCACACAATACCAGTGAACTGAACTTGAAGATCAATGATGTGCGAAAGATTGCAATTAAGGATGACCTCATGCGCAGGGCAAGTAAGGTTATGTGCTGGCCGTAGAGACCAGTAGCTGGTTTCATTTGAGATGTAAGCTGTGAACAACAAATGTCAGCGTTCAATCACGTTCGCATGACTATTGGAGGGAAACATTTCGCGCGAAATAAATATTACTGCATACTGGACATATCCAACTATTATTTTTATCCTACAATAAGTGTTCATCTGCTTGTGTATCTTTCCCATGACGGGCAGTAGCAATTATGCAAACAGTGGAATTGAAGCCCGAAATGTTACGCTCAGATTTTATGATGTGCTAACAACAGTTTCGAAAAAGTGTGCACTGCGAAATTTAGGCATCATACTATAGCTTCAACTGCTTATCCTGGACATATTAAAGTAAAACAAATAAACTTATGATAGAAGACAGTAGCCAACATGTTTTGGAGTAATTTGATTATTGTTCAAATCATTTTCTATGATTTCAAGTTTGTCAAGCTCTTGAACTTTACATGTTTCATAATTTGTAAATTTTGAAACTACTTTCTTGGATCTTTGAACCTCAAATTTGAAAAAAATATTAGCTCAATTCAACTCACAGAACACAAAACTAAGTGGCAGGTTTGTTTTTTTATCAAATGCTTTCAAATCTGGGTAAGTCGAAGGCTTGTGTGCATATGTACTAAGCATTTCTGAAAAAGGTGGGGTGCTTATGAATACATTTGGCAGTTAAATGCAGTGAGGTCCACAATGTTTCTCAAGCCTTAAAGTTTTCATGCTTTCAAACTTGTAACTTTTTGTTTACACAGAGGACCTCGTTCCGGCTGCAGACCTCAGAGACGCTAAAAAGAAAATTAGGGCCCTGACGAAGGAGTTGGAAGAAGAGAGGGCTCTGTGCCGACAAGTGCAGTATGCACTTTTACATAGACTTGGTAAGTGCAAGTTTTCTAATGTGAAATTATTTTTCAAGATCATATTTGAAAGGTTTTCAAGGCTCGGACAAACTCCCAATATTGGTGGTCTAATGTAGCCCTCTTTGTCATCACAGACGCACATGAAACAGGTCTAGCAGGTCTCAGCTGACCAGCTCAGAGATTGTCATCTACACTGTGTCGCAGGATTCAAACAAAGTGCATTTTCCAGGGGCATCACATGTGCAGCATGACTCTCTGATTGAAAACGATACACCCTCTCACAGATGTTGTGACACATGCGAAAATAGTTGTTTTCATGACTTCATTTGTTTCTGCAATAAGTCATAGTAGGGTGCATTGCAGTACAGATGCCTGACCTGGTGTGATTGGCCTCAGGTCCATGTATTTAAAAGGATACTGATCCAAGGAATTTAGTGTCCATAATAAGTCGCGCACGTTCTTTCCACGAGCCAGTAGCCACCGGTGTGCGCGAGCACACGCAAGAAAAATTACGTCAGAGACCTCCATTTGCGGTTAAGATGACAGTGAAATGTATGGGCTTGGGGCCGAAGGAGAATAAAGACAAGTTTTTCATCTACATAGTGGTGTCTGGTGTAAAAGGTAAGCGATTAATTGGTCTAACAAGCACGTAGCTTTCACTTATAGAGATGAAAAGCCTGTCTTTATTCTCCTTTGGCCCGAAACCCATGCATTTCACTGTCCTCTTAAGCACGAATGGAGTTTTTTTACGTCATTTTTGTTGCGTTTGCTCGCGCACACCGGCGGCTGCTGGCTCGTGGAAAGAATGTGCGCCACTTATTATAGATACTAAATTTTTTTTGGTTCGGTATCCCTTTAAGTGCAAAGAAATGTAAAGCGTGGAACATCTTCCCTCAGCTGGAAATAGCAGCTGTTTTCATCCTGGATGTGAAGCCTAGAAACAGTTACCTCCCGTACCTGCTGTCAGAGAGGATATAGTCATTTATGAGGAGCCTATTTAGCTATTAAGAGGGGTACCTTTTTCGGCCACAATGTGTGAAGAAGTAAAAGCGATAGGCTGTAGGGCGATTTCAGATAAGATCAAACAGAGGGTGGCTGGTCGACCTTTTTAATTTGCTTCATAATTTTATATGGTATTCCCAATGCCAAAAGTAAACAAATTAAAATTATTTTCATCTAAAAAAGACTATTGGGCGTAAAAAATCATAGTCACGAAGAGGTGGCAAGTCACATTTATGTGCGCACCTGGGGTGGTCACTTTTGGGGATAAATAACGGAAGTTATACTGCCTGAGTGGGTTTCATAATTTTTGGACGCAACAATAAAAACAATTTTGTTCTTGGAAAAAAAAATTATAATCAAAACATCAATTTTGACTATTCGATTGTTTTCTCTTAACTTCGCAGGCCTATGTCTTAGAACAAAATTAAGTCACAGACATATTTTGACACAATATTCTAGTCATAAGTGGAAGTAACTTAACACAAAAATAAAATTTATTTATGAAAAGATTGTTGCGATATTGACAAGCAAACACGAGAAAAGCACCAAACAAAAAACCTTCCCTGGACAATTAAAAAAAAATGCTCGATTTTCTTTTTTTTTAATTTTGGCCAGTCATTCTATATATGAGAAAGCAAACATTTTTATGTTTGTTTGTTCAGCTGGTTTCTCCTAATTATGTTTTACCAACGTGCTCAACTCTTTCCCGTAGCCAGTTTCTACTTTATTTGGAGGTTAATATCTATTAAAAACATGTTGCATCATTAGGATGGTGTAATAGAGACAGCTCCTCTACCGAGCACCTTCTCCGAGGCTCGGCATGAGCTGTCCCTATAGTGCAACACAGCAATTGTGACTCGTTTTTTTTTTTTAAGTTAACTTTTTATTTTTTTATTTGAGTAAGGAAAGTAATAGTTTCTCGTGTCAGCCTCAGATTTTGAGGGTTTTGTTGAGGCATAGTTTCGGTCGTATGAGCCATTAAAAAATATTAAATTTTTGGGATGCCAGTGTTTCTCTAAGGGTGTTCATGCCCATCTTGCAGCATCTGCAGTGGCGGGCAAGGGCGGCTGCGTAGTGCATTGCTTTCACTCGTTCGGGTGTTCAGATCTGTGGTCTCCTGCACAGCACTATGTGACTTATTATTTAAAGAGGACATTTTTTGCAAGTTCACAAATTTCTTATGAAGGTGCTTGTTTTGTGTTTTGGTATTTCAGGTGTGGTGCTCCCAGCATCCCCTGTAGAGAGCAATGACATCAAGGCATTTCCAGAGCAGTCTCACTCCCGAAGACTACGGCAGCTCAGAGCAGAGCAGCCCGCCAACATCAGACAAACCAGCCCTGCCCCTTCCCCAGCCCCTACCCAGGCTCCTGCTGTGGTACCTGCCTTCTCCCCAGCCCCTGCCTCGGCCTCTGCCTCGACCTCTGCCCCGGCCTCTGCCCCGGCCTCTGCCCCGGCCTCTGCCCCGGACTCTGCCCCGGACTCTGCCCCGGCCTCTGCCCCGGCCTCTGCCCCGGACTCTGCCCCGGACTCTGCCCCGGCCTCTGCCCCAGCCTCTGCCCCGGCCTCTGCCCCGGCCTCTGCCCCGGCCTCTGCCCCTGCCTCTGCCCCGGACTCTGCCCCGGCCTCTGCCCCGGCCTCTGCCCCGGACTCTGCCCCGGACTCTGCCCCGGCCTCTGCCTCGACCTCTGCCCCGGCCTCTGCCCCGGCCTCTGCCCCGGCCTCTGCCCCGGCCTTTGCCCCGGCCTCTGCCTCGCCCTCTGCCCCGGCCTCTGCCCCGGCCTCTGCCCCGGCCTCTGCCCCGGCCTCTGCCCCGGCCTCTGCCCCGGCCTCTGCCCCGGACTCTGCCCCGGACTCTGCCCCGGCCTCTGCCTCGACCTCTGCCCCGGACTCTGCCCCGGCCTCTGCCCCGGCCTCTGCCCCGGCCTCTGCCCCGGCCTCTGCCCCGGCCTCTGCCCCGGACTCTGCCCCGGACTCTGCCCCGGCCTCTGCCTCGACCTCTGCCCCGGCCTCTGCCCCGGCCTCTGCCCCGGCCTCTGCCCCGGCCTCTGCCCCGGCCTCTGCCCCGGCCTCTGCCCCGGCCTCTGCCCCGGCCTCTGCCCCGGCCTCTGCCCCGGCCTTTGCCCCGGCCTCTGCCTCAGCCCCGGCCACTGCCCCGGCCTCTGCCCCCGCCTATGCCCCGGTCTACGCCCCTTTGCCCGCTCCGGACCCTGTCCCAGTCCCTGTCCCAGTCCCTGTCCCAGTCCCTGTCATGATTCATGCCCAACACACTGACGATTGAACCAGGGTCCCGCCGCATAAGAGACGGGCACCTTGCCAGGGAGTTACTCTACAGCTTAAAATAGTTGTTTTCACGACCCAATAGGACGCAACTGCCGGAGTTTGTTTTTCAGGGCTATTGCGCCGGCGGCAAAATATTTACTTCTTTTTTTTTTCGCGGGAGTGTCACCGGCCGGCAGACCCGTCCACGCGGCGACGCTCTGCGACGGCTCATTACAAGTATGTTAACCCAAGCGTCTCCCCCTACATGCCATTTGCGGCGACGATTTTGGGTAACTTGTTACCAGGAAAAAGAAAAAAAAAAGATAATCATAATATTTTGTAAAACAATCTGCTGATGAAACAGCGTGTCTATAAAACGATCTGTCAATGAAACGTCATTCGATGAACTGATTGCCACCGTCAATGAGAGGCGTCTGTCAGAATTACGGGAAAAATATTTTTCCAGCTGCCGGGAGAACAGACAACGTGGCCTAGAATTACCCCGTACCTCCTTCCATTTCGCAGATCGCTTGCACGTTTGTACTTCTCTAAGGAACATGCTGTGTGTAATAAACTTCTGGGAAACTTTAAGAGAATATTTTGTGTCTGTTTTGCTACCTGTTTACAAACTCATGTGCGAGTACTTTTTCTTTACGCGTTCCCTTACTGTATTAAATAGGTTAATTCAGTTCGTGACGTTTTAAATAAGTTTGAGATATCCAAACTTCCAGACGATACCCATTCAGAGATAACGAATAATTCGCATGGGTGCCAGATGCTAGCTCGAGAGTGATTCATTTCAGCAAGCCTTTGTCAGTGGAGGGACGCCGCGGCTAGGCTTCTGCTAGAGCAAGTGAGCCAGCACTGCGTTTCGTGACTTGATCGCGTCTGTTCCTTTGCTTCTGCATCATAGATTCAGTTACATAGTTCAGAAAGAGGTAATGGTAGCCAGTCATCCTTGACTTCACGACGACTTTGTTGAGGTTGCGGAAGAACTTTTAGTCTATTGTGAGCAAAGCTCTTCAGAACATCGCGATGCCACTGAAACAAGTGAACTTATGTTGAGCCTTGACCCATTCACAACGTGCTGCTTGGGAGTGTGCTTTACTAAGACCAATATGGGTTTGAAAGCGTTGATCTTCGACCTTTGGATATTTTCGTAGATGCCATCAGTGCGAAGCTAAACATTGAAGAATTGGCAGCTTAAAAATGGTGTTGAAGTGGCTGCCAGGGTTTTGCGACAGGGGAGGCCGCAGGAAGAGGCGTTCGGAAGCCGTAATGGCTCCTCAGCCCCAGGACTGGCCCCAAGACTCTCCCCAAGACCCTCCCCACGACCAGGCATAGGCTTCCCGCTGAGCCTCTTCCCTGACCCCTTTCAATAAAGATTCCGAAAAAAGTATTAATTGATCTTGAATTACTCATTTGCTCGCCAGATAAAATAGTGCATAGACAAAGCATAGGAGGACCTTGCCATTTGTGCCCAGAATGTTTTTTTTTTTTTTTGCAGTGGGCTGCTAATACAAAACAGGCCAGGGGTTCTTAAAACCCAATGTTGGAATAACCAGGATTTAAACGCATTGCAATCATTGGATAGCCAGCATTAAAGATATGGCTTTAGCATTGGGACATGCCAATGAATTAGCTTGACTGCCAATAACGGCCTATTCAATGAATGAACTTGTATGCCAATGATGGCGTAGCCATTTAATTAGCCTGAAAGCCAAAATTGACATAGCCAATGACATAGTGTGGATGCCAACGATGGCTGAAATATTGGTTTAACGACGGCCTAACAAAGGTGCCAATGATGGCTGAAAAGTTGGTTAAAGGATGGCCTTACATTGGTGCCAATGATGGCTGGAACATTGGTTGAACGATGGCCCAACTTTGGTGCCAATGATGGCTGGATCATTGGTTGAACGATGGCCCAACGTTGGTGCCAATGATGGCTGGAACGGTGGTTGAACGATGGCCCAACGTTGGTGCCAATGATGGCTGGAACATTGGTTGAACGATGGCCCAACGTTGGTGTCAATTGCTGGGCCAACATTGGAAGACGTTGCGCTCCGCCAGAAAACCGATGTTGGACCAACCTCTGGAGCCAGCGTTTGCCATTGTTGGCCCAATGTAGGTCCAACATTGGTGTGCTACCTGGGTGCATGCGGATGACGTGGCAATTTTTCGTAGCGACAAAGACAGTGTAAAGAAAGCCGTAGAGTTGACAGAAATGTTTTGCGACCATACCTGCAGTTCTGTTAACTTTGAAAAGTGTTTGGGTGTTTGGCGTGGTGATTGGCCTTTCACGCCGACTGTGTATGAACGCATTACGTGGGCGGATTCACCGTCTCGGTATCTTGGGGTATTATTGAATCACTATCGCAACATTGACGAATACTGGCGCGACCAGGGCCGGTTTGCTCATCTTGCGGCTGCGGCTGCGGCCGCGGGAAAGAGGGATTTTTACGTCACGTGACGAGCTCCATGGGGCCAAGGAAGTACCTAGCGTCCCTGCCTAATGGCGGAGAGATCCGCATCGCTTCAAGCACAAAAGCCTAATGTCGCTCGCAGGAACTGATTGCAGGGACTTTCAACTGGAGTCCAATTGACCGCCCCGTTATACTGTAGGAGCGGCATGTAAAGTTACGGCCAGGGAGGGTAAATAGGAGCCAAAATAAAAAAAAAACCACACGAGATAAGAGCGGTAACAGCATATTTATCTACCTCCGCCGGCGCCGGCGCCTCGCGCGTCGACAATAAAGAAGAAAAAAAAAGTTCTGCTATGGTCGAGAGGTTAAACCGCCGGTACTTGTCGTCGCGGCGTGAAAGTTCCGGGTTCAAATCGCACTAAGGACTTCTTTTTTTTTCTTTTTTTTTGTATTTTGCGCGTGTCTTACTTTTTAACTGTGATCCCTTTTAGGAAATCATCCACTTGCACTACTGCGCCTTACACGGTTTTTACTGTTAGTCCCACCTGTTCAATCGAAACACCGGGAAGAAAAAAAAAAGGATCAAAGCAAGTTAACGCGCTAATACAATCATTTCATAATGTTCATTAACAGGAAACCAAGATAACAGCATCGCTATGGCTTTCACACTAACGGAGCCGAAGCAAACATCCTTTCCCCAGCAACTAGTTTTATGTGTTTTTAAACATACAACGCTCTTGCTACGAGTTTTTTTCAATGACAAGAGACGCCTATTTAGGACTAATAAAAACTGCAGTTGTGACAATTAAAAAAAACAAGCAAAAAGAAAAAAAAAGACTAGCAACTGTGGCTACACTGATTGAGCGAAATCCTACAGGCAAGGCAGCAAGTCAAACGTCTGAGAAAGTAGTAAAACCGAAATAAAAGCGATCCTACTTTTACTTGCATGGAATGTGATAAAAAGTATATTTGTACTCTTTACATTTTGTTGTGGCAATCGTTTTGTAATATTACCACATTACTTGTTGAATTTTAGTTACATTAGCGGACGATCACGACCGAATGCAAAAATGAATCAGGCGTCGACATCGCAAAGCCTCTCTCTAATGCAAACTCCTAAAATGACTTTGGATCAACAAATGGAATGAAATGATTGTATTAGCGCGTTAACTTGCGTTCATCTTTTTTTTTTCTTCCCGATGTTTCGATTGAACAGGTAAGACTAACAGAAAAAACCGTTAAGGCGCAGTAGTGCAAGTGGATGATTTCCTAAAAAGGATCACAGCTAAAAAGTAAGACGCTCACAAAATACAAAAAAAAAGAAAAAAAAAAGAATTCCCTAGCGCAGTTTGAACCCGGAACTTTCACGCCGCGACGACAAGTACCGGCGCTTAAACCTCTCGACCATAGCAGCAGGGGCGAGGCGTCGGTGCCGGCGGAAGTAGATAAATATACTGCTACCGCTTTTATCTCCTGTGGTTTCTTCTTTACTTTGGCTCCTATTTACCCTCCCTGGCCGTAACTTTACCTGCCGCTCCTACAGTATAAAGGGGCGGTCAATTAGATTCCAGATGAAAGTCCCTGCAATCAGTTTCTGCGAGCGACATTAGGCTTTTGTGCTTGAAGCGATGCGGATCACTCCGCCATTAGGCAGGGACGCTAGGTACTTCCTTGTCCCCATGGAGCTGGTCACGTGACGTAAAAATCCCTCCTGGCCGCAGCCGCGACCGCAGCCGCAAGATGAGCAAACCGGCCCTGTTGCCCTAATCTGGACACTTGGCAGAAAAGTCGGCGAGAAATTCGGCGGCTGTGATTGGCCGGCGCCAAGGTCAAGTGTGGCGTTGGCCAATCGCGGCCGCCAGATTTCTCGCCGTCGTTTTCGCCAAGCGTCCAGTTTAGGGCCCCTGACTGAGGCTTTGTGCGCGAAAGCGAACAAGTGGGGAGGTCATGGTTTATCAATTTTCGCGCTGCACCTGTGTGTAACATATTTCTTGCTGCGAAGATTTGGTATGTGTTGCAGGTATTTCATTGTTTACGTATTAACCTTCACCGCATTCATCGTGTATCTGCCGTTTTCATTTGGAGCATGGTATGGGAGAGGACGAGCCGAACGAATCTTTTCCGAAGGGTCAGTGTTGGCGGTCTGGGGCTTTCCAATTTGTTTGTAAGGCAGCTGGGTAATAGATTTTTATTTCTTCGAGACCAGAAAGATCCTTTTTTTGCATGGTCATTCAAGCATGGCTGCGCAGCGCTCTTCCTGAATTCATAGTTTCGTCTGGCATAGATGTCAGTGGTTCTGTAGGCGGTTATCTAAAAGAAGTCGTTGGTGCTTATCAGTTTTTAACAACGCGCTTTTCTTTGGAATACTTGTGCGGTGTCTCGCGGAAACGGTTGACAAAAGACATTATGAAATTAATCTTTCCCACTGCTTTATATCGTATGTTTTTCAGTGAAGGCCCAGGGCAGGACGTGTTAAAACGTGTCAAAAGAATGGCCATTCCCGCCTCAACAAAACTTTTTTTTTTTTTAAAGTTGCGCAGCCAAACCTTATCTGTCAAAGCTCGACTAGCCGAGAAAGGAGTGCCTATTGCGT